TCCTCCTCTCTCTCCGCACCGCCTCCTGGGTGACCTCATCAGGCCTGTGGGCTGTGACTTCAGCATCTGTGTGCTGAGGGCCCATGAGGATCGCCCCTACCTTTGACAGGCACTTCAAGGGTAGCTTGTACCAACTCCATCCCCAGCACTCCACTCACACCAAATACCCCAGACCTCCCTCCCATCACAGCAGGGGGTTCCTGGTCCTTTCAGGTGTTCACTTCAAAACATAGGAGTTAAGTCACCTGGGCTCGGCTATGGTCCCCACGCTCCCTCAGAAAACCCTCTGACCCCACGTGGGAGGCTCCAACCACACCGGCCTCAACTGGACCACTCACTGCAATTGCTCTTCCCCCGCACTTGGCCCTGCCAATGATTTCAGTGCAGTGTCCTGAGCAAGCAGAAGGTGACATAACTCCTGGCTCCATCTCCATCCCTCTAAAGAAAACCCATCGCCTTTGCCATCGCCTTCAATGCCCACAGCACCCGGCTCCTGCCACCTTGCCAGCCCCATCTCCCTAACTCTCGCTGCTCCTCATGCTCCAGGCACGGTGGCCTCCCTGGGGCTCCTGGAGCCCACCAAGCAGGCTGTCTCAGTCCCCCCAAGGCAGGGCCTGAGGCAAGGACTGGGCCAGGTTGTGGATTTGGGAGACATGCCAGGAGGCAGGAGTGGGAAAGAGGAGAAAAGCCAGTAAAGGGGTGTGTCATCAAAAAGGGGTGTATCATCAATGGGGCTGGGGCTACTGGGTCTCCCTGAGAGAAGCTTCCAGAACCATCTACTGAGAGGAGGTGCAGCCAGGCATCATCCCTGCTCCCACTCTACTGCATAATGGTTGACACAGCTTTACCTCCCTGCACCCCAGTTTGCCTTAGGAAGGCCCCGAGGCAGAAAGGGGTCAGCCCGCGGGGGCACTGGGTGGAGGGGAGTCTGAGCCAGCAGAACTGTGCCCACAGCTATGAATGAGGACAGGCGGCCAAGGGCCACACGGGGCACACCTGAGGCCTTGTCTCCGGGCCTGGCCTGGAAGGACGACCTCCCCCAGCAGCAGGCTTCCCCCTCACTTCCTCCAGGTCCCTGCTGGAAAGTCATCCCTCCTGAGCTGTCACTTCCATCCTGAGATGGCGCCCTCCATCCCCTCCATCCTCCGGATTGAGCATTTAAAGGGGCATGAGAGCAACCTTCTCACCTCCTGATGGATGTAGCACACATTTGCCAGGTTAGACACCAGCCTCACCTCCACCCCCCAGGGCCTAGAGCAGACAGCCACACCAGGGTCACTCATACATCTCTCTTGACTGAACAACTGAATGAGTTCCAGCAAAATGAAAAACTGATCCAAAGGGGAAATGTGGAATAAGAGAAATAGCAGTAGTCACAGGTATTCTGGGAAAAAGCCAAACATATGGAAAGTAAACAGAATATTGCAATAAATTGTACTATCACTCAGCTTCAGCAATTATCCAACTTTTATCATTCTTGTGTCACCTGTCCCTCCATCAATCCCTCACTCTACTCAATTGATCTTTTTACATGTAAATTTATAGCCATCGTGTAGAAATAAACAAAGACCGCTCAGATGAGAAAGGCAAAGAAAGGTTATTTGGCTTTTTATTTCTTTTTGCTATAGAAAGGGAGTCAGCCATGGTCACTTGCTTTTGGCAGAGACTCAGTGGCAAGCAGAAAACTGAGAAAACTTTATAGTAGAAAAAAGAGGCCTCAGGTATGTCGTGACTGGGAGCCCTTGGCCTACGGAAGCTGTAGGTGAGGTAACCAGAGATAAGGCATCTGTGTGATTGGTTAAGGGAGCACGTTTGGCTTTCTCAGGTTGGTCCCAAGCTGAACATGGGGCCAAAATTAGGGCAGCTTTCAGTTATTAATCAGGGGCTGGCCATGTGGGGGCCAACTGTTACACTGGTTATTGTTGAGCTTCTGGATTGTCGCTGGAGATGGCAGTCTGGCTGCCTTTGAGTGACTTACAGCCGCTGGCTTCCTCCGCTGGTTTTCTGGGCAGGGTACTGTGGATGGAGGCTGGTTTCCTAGGAGGTTACTGTGGATGGAGGCTGGTGTCCTAGGAGGTTACTGTGGATGGAGGCTGGTTTCCTAGGAGGTTACTGTGGATGGAGGCTGGTTTCCTAGGAGGTTACTGTGGATGGAGGCTGGTTTCCTAGGAGGTTACTGTGGATGGAGGCTGGTGTCCTAGGAGGTTACTGTGGATGGAGGCTGGTTTCCTAGGAGGTTACTGTGGATGGAGGCTGGTTTCCTAGGAGGTTACTGTGGATGGAGGCTGGTTTCCTAGGAGGTCACTGTGGATGGAGGCTGGTTTCCTAAGAGGTTACTGTGGATGGAGGGCTGGTCTTCTGGGCAGTCTGGCCATTATCCATTGTATCCCAATTGAGACGTATAAATATTAGTATGACTTTTGGTAAATGGGTACACCCACAGTCACACATCCTCCTGACATGATATAGAATAAAGCATAGGTAACTTTGAATTGTTAAAAAATTGAAACTTAGTAGATGTTCAAATTTTGAGTGAATGAGAAGAGGTTGACGAGTGAATAAGTGAATTAGATTTAAATCCCAGATCTGTGCGACAGAGACGTTGCTCGAGGGAGAAGAGGAAAGTAGATGCATACTACAATCTTTATTTCTTAATAGAGGAAATATAACTGCTGATTAAATTTAGACTTGCTAGGAAATACATAAACTTAAATATTTGTATTAAGAGTCACTACTAGAAAAATTAAAATAAAGCGGGTAGCCTGCAGTGAAGGAACATTAAAACGAAGAGAACAGTGTTTGAGGAATTATTATCCCCGAGGCACTGTTCTAAGTGTTGGAAGTACAACAATAAACAAACAAAAATTATCTGCCCTCTTGAGCTTACAGCCCTGTGAGAAAAACAGGAAATAAGCCAAATAAACAAGTCAGTACATAGCATATTACCTGGTGATCAATCTATGGAAACAAATCAGGAAAAAAAGGATGAGGAGTTAATGAGATATTTTGCAGTTTTATTAATCCTCCCCTGAGGGTATTTTTTTCCATTATTTTTTTTAAAATTATTTTTAGAGAAAATGAGAGGGATTGGGAGAGACAGAGACAGAGACACATCAATGTGAGAGAGACACAGTGACTGGTTGCCTCCCACACGTGTCCTGACCTGGGCCGGGGATCGAGCCTGCAACCGAGGTAGGTGCCCTTGATGGGAATCAAACCTGAGACCCTTCAGTCCACAGGCCCACACTCTAACCTGAGCAAACCAGCTAGGACAAGTTTGCAGTTTTAAACAGAGTGGTCAGAAGAGGACTGAAGGAGGGGAGGTAGCAAATGCTGTGGATCAGAGGGAAGAGAATCCTAGGCAGAGGGAACAGAAGCACAAAACCTCTGTGGTGGGGGTTTGACTGGTGCAGCAAGGAGGTCCTGTGGCTGAAATAGAGTGAATGAGGTGGGGAGTAGAGGATATGAGGTTAAAACAGACGTGGTAGGGTTTGTGGACAGACTGGGTATGGGCTGTGTGGGAGGCAGCTCTGAACTGGCTCCCATGTGTCCTGGTAGTCACACCTGTACCATCCCTGCCCTTCAAATGCAGGCTGGACTCAGTGACTCACTTCTAGAGAATAGAACATGGCAGAAAGGATGATATGTCACTTCCAAGGTTAGGCTATAAAAAGACTGTGGCTTCTGTGTCGGCTGCTCCCACTTCTGATCACTTGCCTGGGAGAACCCAGCCATCATGCCATCAGAACACTCAGGCAGCTAATGGAGAGGCCCAAGTGGTGAGGAACTGAAGTCTGGCCGCAGCCAGTAAGGAGCTGAGATGTCACATGAGGGAGCTTGGAAGTGGATCCTCCTACAGTTGAGCCTTCAGATGAGACTGAACTCCAGCCAACAGCTCAACTGCATCCTTCAAGAGACCTTGAACAAGAACTTTCCAGTTAAGCCACGCCTGACTTATAGAAATGCTTGTCTTAAACTGCTAAATTTGGGGGTGACTTTTTACATAGCAATAGATAAGTAATACAGGCTGTGTGTGTGACTTGAATGACTGAACCAATGGAGCTTCTATTTACTGAAGTGAGGAAGGATATGGAAGAAACAGACCTGGGGAGAAAGACTAAGAATTAAACTTTGAACACATTAAGGTTATGATGGCTTTAGATATTGCAGACGAGTAAGACTAGGATTTGGGGGAAAGTCTGAGCTAGAAATACATATTTGGAGCGTCTGTATTTAAAGGCCTGGATAAAATAACCCAAGGGAGGGAATGTAGATGGAAAAGATAAGACGGGCAAGCACTGAATTTTGGGGCACATCCACAATAAGAGGCAGGAAGATGAGAAGAACCAGAAAAAAAAATGGGGGGAAAAAAGCCAGGAGGAGGGAGTGTCAAATGCGGCTGTAAGGTCATGTAAGATAAGGACTAAGAGTTGGCCATTGTGTTTAAAAGATGAAGGCATTGGCAATCTTGACGGGAGCAACTTTAATGGCAGTGGGGGGTTAAAGCAAAAGTGATTATTGAATAATCTTACTCTATGGGAAAGAAGAGAGGTTGTATAGGAGCTAGAAGTTCAAGGAAGGTCAAGAGAGGGTTATCTTTAAGTAGTGAGAAGTAATTATCTGCTTTGTATGGTTTTTAGGACATGCCCAGTGGAAAGGGAAAATTGATGATGCAGGTGAGATTAACTGGAGAAACATCCTTGAGTAAGCCTGAGACGTTGGATCTGGAGCACAAGGAGCAAAGACAGTTTATCCACAGAAGCAAATCTGGAGTTATTTTAAGCAACATTTGTAGGTGGGTAGAGGTGAGTGCAGCTGATGGACTTACTCTAACAATTGCTTCTGTTTTCTTTGTGAAATATACACAAAGCAAGAGATATAGCGTCTGCTGAGACCATGGCCTCTCAAGTACAGAGGAGAAGGCATAAAATAGCTGCCTGGCAATGTGGAGGAGGGTGAGACTGCCAGGCAACTCTGCGAGCCCCTTGAGGTTGATGACCATGTATCTGAAGTGGAACCAGCTGCATGACCATGGACTTTTCTTCAGCCTGTTAGTCTCTGCCTACTTGTGCACAGACACAGGTAGGCAGAGGTGGGTGGGACTTTGCCATGAGCAAGGGCATAGAAGAGAAATGAGGACATAAACCAGGGGTCCTCAAACTACGGCCAGCTGGCCACATGCAAATACAAATATTGTATTTGTTCCCGCTTTGTTTTTTTACTTCAAAATAAGATATGTGCAGTGTGCATAGGAATTTGTTCATAGTTTTTTTTTTAAACTATAGTCCGGCCCTCCAACGGTCTGAGGGACAGTGAACTGGCCCCCTGTTTAAAAAGTTTGAGGACCCTTGATAGTAGCAGTGTGGTGAAAAATGGGTAAAATGGATGTTAGGTCCTAGTGAGGTTAAATAATGACTATAAAAAGGAAGACCTGGCGAGAAAATAAGAAAGCATGGTAAGTAGAAAACATAAAATACGATGGCAAAAATGAGTATAATCCTATCAAACTTCACAATAAATTCCACTGTTAATAAATGAACTCAGCCCTGGCCAGTGTGTTCAGTTGGTTGGAGCATCATCCCGTGCACTGAAATGAGGTGGATTTAATTCCCAGTCAGGGCACATACCCAGGTTGTGGGTTCGATCCCTGGTCAGGATATGTACAGGAGGTAGCCAATCGATATTTCTCTCTCACATCGATGTTTCTCTTTCCCTACTGCTTTCTCTAAAATCAATTTAAAATGTTAAATAAATAAAGGAACTTAGACTAAGTTAAAACAAATTCCATCTATATGCTGTTTACAAGATTCATAGATAAAATATATTACACAAAAGATTGAAAATATAGGAATAAAAAAAGTATACTTGATACTTGATAAATGTTACCAAAAAGGTAGGCACCTCCATTTAAATTTCAAAAAAAATTAAAATCAAGGTAAAAAAGCATTGAAAGTAATCAAAAGTGTAATTCGTATTAATGAAAACTACAGTCTACCAGGGAACCATAATAGTCATACATGTTATATCATATATATTATGTTATATAATAACAAAGCTTCACAGTCAGCTTCATTGACTCAAATCATGAAATTCACAATGACAGTGGGAAATTTTAGGACATATTTTTCTGAAATTCGTAGATAAGAGACACCAAAGAGAAAAAAATATGAAGAAATTGAATTAATGTAACCTTAATCACATATATGATAAAATTTTGCTAAGCAGCACGAATTCATATCTGTGTCATGCACAAGTATCATATATTAATGCTCAAAGAAATTTCCAGTGAATTTCAAAAATCAAATATTCCTAAGGCTACTCTCTCTAGCAATGAAATAAAAGTAGAAATTTAATAATAAAAACATAAGCTTCAAAGTCTATCAACTTCAAAGCTTTTCCACTTGTGACTGAATGGGCGGACCTAGAAGATATTGTGCTAAGTGAAATAAGTCAGATGAATACCATATGGTTTCACCTATATGTGGAACCTGAAAAACAAAATAAACAAACAAACAAAATAAAACAGACTTACAGATACAGAGAACATGATGGTTGTCAGAGGGGAAGATGGGTGGTTGGGGGGCTAGGTGAAAAGGTGAAGGAATTAAGAAGTACAAATTGGCAGTTACAAAATAGTCTTGGGATGTAAAGTACAGCATAGGGACTATAGTCAATAATATTGTAATAACTATACATAGTGGCAGGTGAGTACTTGAAATATCAGGGGAACACTTTGAAAAGGATATGATTGTCTAACCACTATGCTATATGCCTAAAACTAATACCAAATAATATTAAAAGTCAACTGTAATTAAAAAATAAAATGTGAAAAAAGCATTCTAGTTAAAATTTGAATTATGTAATGATAGATGCAGTTACAGAATGGTAAATTTATATTCAAATAACCTCAAGACAATGCTGGACAAGCTCTATGAATACATATGCATGTTCTCAATGAGAAGACAAAAATCTGAACGCGTGCCATTGCTCCTCCCATAAGCATAACTCAAAACCCTGGAAATTATATGTAAAACAAATGTAAAAAGACTCAAAACGGTAAAGTGAGCAAGGCAAACTGGCTCTGGGCCCAGGACCCAAGGGACAGCACTTTGGTGGATTCTCTGGGTTTTCTTTTTGCCTCATAGATCCCAGACTTGGGGTGGAAGAGGCAGCAAGCCAGGAAGCCCAATGCACACAGACCAAAAAGCACCAAAAAAGCCAGCTCTGCCTGGCTACAGTACAAAAAGGGACAGCCTAGGAAGACAGGAAATTTTAGACAATAATCTTTCTACTCCAACCAAGAATCACAGAAAAAAAACTGTGGCTCCAGCCACACCCATGCCAGCCAAGTCCTAGACTTCTGCCTTTGCGAGGCCTTGACAAAGTGCCACGCACCCCTCCAAGGGAGTGTCAGAGAAGGCCAGTGTGGAGATGGGACTTCTATCCCCGCCAGCTGTGTTGGTGAGTACCACATGGAAACTGGAACTCCCCGCCCCCCAGCAGGAATGAGGATCTCCCACCCCACCTCAGGTGTCCACAGAGGCTGAGTGAGGAACCTGAGCTCCTGATTCTACCTGGTTGTAAGGAGGGGCTGCTGCATTTTCCCCGCCAGAGCAGTGTCGCCAAGGCCCAGCCAATCCAAAGGCTTAAATAAAATCTAGACTCATAACGTAATATGAAAATGTCCAGGTTTCTTCCGAGACTTACCAGCCATACCAAGAACCAGGGGAATCATAAAGAAAATAAAAATGGAAATTCAATAGATGCTGACATTGAGATGACAGAGATATTAGAATTATCTGACGAAAATGTCATAGCAGCCATCATAAAAATGAGTAGGAATTACACTCATCTCCTCCTAGGACCAAGCTGGAATTACCACTAAGAAATTAGAAATATGCTTGAAACAAATAGAAAAATAGAATGTTTCAGAAAAAAATATAATAAAGAACCAAAATAAAATTTCAGAACTGAAAAATACAATAACTGAAATAAGTGGATGGAGAGTCAGTGAATTGGTAGCTAAAATAGAAATCACCCAACTGAACAACAGAGGGAAATAGAATGAACAAAACAAAACAAAACAAAAAAGAACAGAACCTCAGGGACCTGAGGGAATATAACAAAAGCTCTAACATTCCTGTCATTCTAGTCTGAGAAAGAAAAGAAAAAGAGGGTGGGTTGACAAGTACTCAAAGAAAAAAGGGTTGAGAACTTTCCAAATTTGGCAAAAGTCATAAACCTGCAGATATAAGAAGCTAAGTAATAAAACCATAGAAATCCATGCCAAGACACATGATAAATTAAATTTCTGAAACATAAAGGTAAAGAAATAAATCTTGAAAGCTGTTAGAGAGAAATGACCCATTCAAATGACAGTGGATTTTTTTTATCAAGACCATGAAAGTTAGCAGGAAATGGCATAGTATTTTTCAAATGTTAAAAGAAAAAAACTATAACCCAGACTCTCCCAATGAAAATCTCATTCTCAGATGAAGGGAAACTGAGAGAATTTGTCAATAGCTGACCTACCCTAAACAAATGGCTAAAGGAATTTCTCTACAGAGAAAATAAGTAATAAGAGAAGAAAGCTTGAAACATCAGGAAGGACAAGCACTGTGGCAAACAAAAATATAAGTAAATACACCAGAATTTCCTTCTTCTCTTGAGTTTTCTAAATGATGTTTGATGGTTGAAGCAAAAATTATATCACTGTCTAAATGTAGAAGGAGGAAATAGTAAAAACAACTATGTTATATGTGAGAAAGGGTAAAGGACAAACAAGGGTGAGATTTCTGTACTTGAGATTTCTGTACTTCAATCAAACTGGCAAAACAATGACACCAGGAGACTGATAAATTATGTATATACTATAATTTAATACTATACAAAGAGATAAACTGAAAAACGTGAGAAATACATCAAAATTAGCATCACTCAAAAAATGAAATACTTAAGTGTAAATCTAACAAAATTTGTTATGCTAAAACCTATACAATACTAATGAAAAAGATCAAAGATCTAAATAAATAGAGAGACATACCATGTTCACATACTAAAAATGTCAATTTCCCTAAATTAGCATATATGTCTAACACAACTCCTATAAAACTCTCAGCATGATTTTTGTAGATATATATGAGTATTCTAAAATGCATATAGAAAAGAAAAAGAACTAGAATAGTTAAAACAATTTTGAAAAAGAAAAATAAAGTGAAAGAAGTCAGTCTACCCAATTTCAAAATATATTATACTAGAGGCCCAGTGCACAAATTTGTGCACCAGTGGGGTCCCTCAGCCTGGCCTGCACCGTCTCACAATCCAGGTAAATATAAAAAAAGAACAGAAACCACCAAAAAGAACCAGTCAGAAATGTAGGACTGAATCAGTGATTTGGAAGACAAGGTAGCAGAAAACACCCAATTAGAACTGCAAAAAGAGAAAAAAATTTTAAATAAGGATTTTCCAAGGAAACTCTGGGATAACATGAAACAACAATATTCACACTAGGGATACCAAAAGAAGAAGAGATAGAGCAAGGATAGAGAACTTATTTGAAGAAATAATGGATGAAAACTTTCCTAACCTGGTGAAGAAAAAAGACACACACACACACACACACACACACACACACATTCAGAAAGCACAGAGAGTCCCAAAAAGATGAACCCAAAGAAGCCCATACAGAGACATATCATAATAAAAATGGCAAAGGTTAAAGGCAAAGAGAGACTCTTGAAAGCAGCAAGAAAAAGACAGTTAGTTGCTTAAAAGGGAGCTAATTGGGTGTTTTCTGCTACCTTGTCTTCCAAATCACTGATTCATTCCTCTGCTTCATCTAGTCTGCTGTTGATTGCTTCTAGTATATTCTTCATTCCAGATATTGTATTCTACATTTCTGACTAGTTCTTTTTGGTGGTTTCTGTTCTTTTTTTATATTTACCATCTCTTTAAGTTCTAACTGAGTTTATCCACAGAGTAGCCAGACAGTTCCCTTCAAAAATGTCCATGTCATCCAAGCAAAGAAAGGTGCCGGCTGTTTCAGATTACAGGAGACTCCTGGGTCATGACAGTCAGATGCA